TCTCTACGCCAAAGTGACACCAACCATAGATGAAATTCCCACCACTGTACTTCAAGTTCTCAAAGATCCAAGATGGCTTGCTGCAATGTATGAGGAACTTGATGCACAAATCAGGAACCACACATGGGACATCGTCACGCCAAACAAACACATCAATCTGGTCGGCTGTAAGTGGGTATTTACAATAAAATGTAATGATGATGGCTCTGTTTCATGGTACAAGGCGTGTCTCGTTGCTAAATGTTATAATCAAATACCTGGTCTTTATTATAATGAAATATTTAGTCATGTGGTATAACCAACAACGATCAGACTGGTCTGAAGTGTCTATGTTTCCAGCAATTGGCCGATACGACAATTTGATGTAAATCATGCTTTTCTTCAAGGCCAACTGGATGATGAAGTTTATATATTGCGACCCCCTGGATTTACAGATCAGGATAATCCAGCAGGAGTTTGTAGGCTTCGAAAAGCGGTGTATACGGCTTGAAACAGGCACCTAGGGCGTGGTACAACGAGCTGCGAACATCCCTCCTGCAATCTGGCTTCAGCAACTCACTAGCTGATGCAAGTTTATTTATCTACAATCACAATGGTGTCTTGCTCTACATGCTAGTCTATGTAGACGATATCATACTCGCCGGAAACAACAATGAATATCTCCAGAATTTCATTACTTCGCTCTCCACTCGTTTTTCACTTAAAGACTTGGGAAATCTCTCTTACTTCCTAGGTATGGAAGCTCACCGAAATTCTCATGGTTTATTACTAACTCAAAAACGTTATATTGCAGACTTGCTTGTCCGCACAAAGATGGCTGGAGCTAAATCCGTTGCAACACCTATGTGTCCCAACACACCTCTTACACTTCACACTAGCGAACAAATGAAAGATCCAACTCAATATCGTGCTGGTGTGGGAAGCTTAAAATACCTGTCTCTTACCAGACCCGACATATCTTTCACTGTCAACTGTCTATCATAATACATGCACCAACCCACCACTGAGCATTGGCAAGCTGTTAAGCGCCTCTTACGCTATCTCTCCGGGACGGAGAACCAAGGAATCTACTTTCCTACAACCAACACGCCATCTCTCCATGCATATACAGACGCAGACTGGACAGGGAATAAGGACGACTATACATCAACAGGAGCTTACATTGTTTACTTTGGTCGTCATCCCATAGCTTGGTCTTCAAAGAAACAAACCGGAGTGGCTAGGTCCTCTATAGAAGCTGAATATCGATCAATAGCTTCAACTATAGCCAAAATATGTTGGATCAACTCCCTCATTCCTGAGCTCGGAATCAAGACATTAGGCATACCAGCCATATAATGTGACAATATTGGAGCCACTTACCTTGCTGCAAACCTGGTATTCCATTCCATAATGAAACATGTTGCTTTGGACTATCACTTTGTTCGTTATCAGGTTCAGCAAGGCAATGTAAGGGTATCTCATGTTGCCTCTCAAGACCAGTTAGCAGATGCACTTACAAAACCTCTACACAGGTCACGCTTTCAGACACTATCAGTCAAGATTGGCCTCGCCAAAGGCGGTCCATCTTGAGGGGGCGTATAAGATTTAGAAACCTAATACAATTGTGATTGATATCACTAACGGCTTGATTCTGCTAATCAAGTCTCGTATATATTCCTTCCATGTTTGTACCTAGACTCTTTGTATAAGTATAGACCTTTGGTCTTGTGAATAAATCATCTTCCATATTCAATAAGAAGCTCATGGCTGAAAAGGATATGTTCATTGCAATCGCCTCAGTCTCTTTCTTCATCCATCTCCTCTTTCTCCGGGTCATCCACGAGATCACTGACAATCTTGGAATCGCCCAAGGGGTTCTCTTAGCCGCTTTCACCGTCTTGCTTGCTGAATATCCCAAACTTATGCACACTGTATTCTTGAGTAGTTGCTTCACAGTATTACTGGCCTTCATGAACACCCTACAACATCCGCATGAACCCATTCCAGCCGAACCTGTGATTCCGATGGCAGCACCTGTGATTCCTGAGCAAGCGGTGATTCTTATGCATGCAGTTCCACGACAGCCTAATCGAAATTTGGGCGAAAACCAAAACTCAAGATGGAGATTTCCCCATTTCAAAAGTGCAAGATGGTGATTAATGTAGCCCAATTCAAAGACGATTTGTTTTACTACTACCAATACATGTATTTGTTTAGAGTTGCTGATCTGATACATACAACGTGAACAGTTCTCTTTTTTTGTGTGTGAATGATATCCATGTACATAGAGTTCTGAACAGTCCAGAGAATATCTGTTACTGTATTACATTTCATTTTGAAAATATTTGATATAAATGTAGGAAAAAAAGGTTAACAAAGTTTTAATGGATTCTCTTTTTCTTTTGGTCAGCAGTTTTAATGGATTCTATTGGAAAAAAATTGGACTTTCAAGATATGTACATGAAGTTCTAAACAGTTCAAATAATAGATTTTTTTTTATAGAAAATAATGTATTAGGGGTTCATATATAAGACAGAAGAAAACCTCTCTAGTCTATCACTAAACGCTCAGTCCTATCTCTAGTTGTCCTCACATAGAAATCGAGCTCGATGGCCATTTTTTTTAAAACCTCTAGAGTTGTGTAAAAGGTTTTTCTTCTTTCATTCACAAAGAAGATGTTACCTTTAAATACACGATTAACCTAATACAAGTTTAGGCTTGTTTACATAAACATACTTATGGAAATATGTAATTACAATAGAGACCCAATTCTCTCAATACCCCCCCCCCTCAAGTTGGAGTGTGGAGGTCATAAACACCCAACTTGCGAATGAAAGCCTCAAATTCCTTACGTCCGAGAGCTTTAGTCAGTATATACGTGAGCTGAGTGGTAGTGGAGACGTGTCTAGGAGTGATCACACCACGAACGATCTCACCCTGTATGAAATGACATTCCTTACCAACATGTTTGTTTTCTCATGAAAAACCGGGTTCTTACTTAAATGGATTGCTGAGAGACTGTCGCAATGTAGGACAACTGAAGCAGAACAATCAACACCCAGATTTTCAAGGAGAGCACGTAACCATATCACCTCACTAACTGTATCAGCCATAGCACGGTACTCCGCCTCCGCATAAGAACGAGAAACAAAACAAAAGAAGTATACAGTTAAACATAAATTTCATCACATAACACAACAGAACATAAGTTCAGCATATACCATTAACTCAAGATCTACAAACATAACATAAGTTTAACACATAAGACAAATACATGTTTAGGTTGGAAAATTTGGACGAGTGTGGCCTGGTTGTTTGCATTGGGGGCAACTATAATCCTTGTGCAGCTTCCACGGTTTGTTTCCTCTCATCCTGGAATTTCTAGCCAAGACTGCCATCCTGCAAAACAAAAAGGGTATACCAAATTAGCGAATAAATATTTCATGTTTAATAAAATTACAGAAGTAGACATTTAAGAGAGTCTAAAATTATTAGCTAACTACATAGTAAACCTAAAAATTTGATAGTTTCATAATTATAATGGATTATTCTTTTGAAAATTATTCAAGACTATTATGATTACCTAACAATAAAATCGTGAAAAACATTGATGAAAAACACACAAACTCACTTTAATAGAATTCGTAATGTAGACTTCAATGTTAGTCTACATTTTTAGACTGTAATAGAGGTCTACAATTTGGGTTATTTTTTGCAATTAAAAAATTCACGAGGTCTACACAATAAAAATGTTAGTTTTGCAGTTGATTTGTATTCACCAGGAATTTGACTTTCGAAAGTAAACTTCGTATTTAGTCTACATTTTTAATTTTTTTTAAAGAGATTAATTTTTCAATTGGCCAAGTTTAACTTTCTAAGAGTATACTTAAATAGACATCTACACATGTGTAGACTTCACCTAAAAATCTACTCCCAAATCCGACATGTTAGTTTTGTGTTTGACCAAAATAAAATTGAAGACTACATATGCAGTCTACACTTTAATTAATTTGTTGTTTAATCTTTTAACGTTGTAATCAAACACAGAACTAACATATTAAATAAAGTCAAAGTTTGGTCAAATGCATAAATGATCATTTTGCAGATTTTTAGAGCAGTCTACATAAGTCGAAGAAATCTACTATTAAAAGTAAAAAGTTCAGTCAATTTCAAAACTAACCTATTTTATTTAGACTTATGAAGAAGTCTACCGAATTGTTTTTGTTTTGTTTTCAAAGGTAAATATGTAGACCGATATTGAAGTCTACTTTGCTTAAATTAATATTTATTCTGGTCAATTGTAAAACTAATATGTGTGTTGACAAGTAGACCGCACCGTAAATTTACAATTTTTTCGTAGACATACAAAATAGTCTAAGTCTACTGTCGCGATACAGATCTGAAAACTGACGAACTCCATCTTAAAAGTTACATTTTTCGGTGTAAAGCTCTTTTCCAACATTTTTCACCGTGAAGACTCCAAATATGAGCACAAAGAAGCAGCTTAGACAGTTTTTACTGAGAAATCACGAAAATATGAAATTTTTGATTGTGAAATTGAAAGTTATGGGAGTTCTATATGAAATTGGAAAGGAGATGATATGAGATGAAAATTTGTTGGTGTATAATGAAGAAAATGTAGATACAAATTGAATTCTTGAGCATTAAGAGCTCAGATGTGGTTGAGAATATTGATGATAGCATTATTGTAAACAAGAAGAAATGTATAGGGTGTTTTTGGTTTTTATATAATTTCAGAAATAAAATAAAAAAGTTTTAATGACATTTTTGTAAATAATTGAGAAAACTATGGAGTACTGGAAAGATTTAATACCATAAGTTCATTTAAAAAAGATTAGGTTTAGGTTTGACCAAAATTCTAAAGTTAGTTCTGTAAAATTCCCTTTAATAGTATTTGATAACATCAAAATCAATGTTATATTCTTAATTTTCATTCATAATTTGGTAAATTAGTAATTTTTTCCTAAAATTAAAGATTTTGGAGATTCTGATAAAGAATGGAGATTTTAAATATCTTAGTGCCAGACAGAAACTCTATTAATCCTCATCGTATCACAACAACTAAACAACAACAAAAAAAATCTAGGATGTTGAGAGACAGTGTGATGATGAGTCTTGAAGATATGTGGAGAGTAATAGCCATGGTAGCCGTTTTTGGCATCTACGTATCACTCACCAGCCTCTGTCTTTCATCGTCTTCGTCTTGGTACGCGCCCATGGGGGCCACAACTTTGTACGTGGTGTTGATGCTCATGTCGTGCACCAATTTTCGCATCTACAAGGAAGAAGAGCCTCCTTTACCTGCTACACGTGCTGGTTTCTCTGTGATTCTTATGATATCCATGTTTTATTTCCCCTACTATTACTCAATCATTGATGCCTTCATTTATGTATGCTCCTTGTTCGCCTTTGGGATCTCCATATTCCAGCTCAGTGCTCAACTCTCCCATGGACACAAAACACGTCTTCTACACCTTTTTCTTTGGTTTAATCTCAGTTTGCAATGGCTATGGGCTCGGTTACGGATGTTAATATGGGTAATTACCCATGGGTTTACCCAAACCCATTGATAATGGGTTGTGTTTTTATCCATCTAAAACTAATTGGGCTAAACATGGATATAAAATTTTAAAATNAAAATCCATATTAGATAAGATAAATACAAAAGGATAATGGGTACCCATGGGTTTTAATTTTATAACATTATGTTTTTCACTATTTTAATATCTTTTGTTTTAATGTTTTAAAAAATCATAATTTTGTTTTTTCTTTCCAAACTAAACAATGAATTTATCCGTCAGAACTGTAAAACGAGTTTTTTCGCCAAAATCAGAAAATTGACTTTTCCCGCAAAATCGGAAAAATTATTTTTTCCACCAAAACTGCAAAACGTTTTTCCGTCAAAACCGAAAAACATGTTTTCCCACCAAAACCGAAAAACATGTTTTCCCACCAAAACACGAAAAAGTATTTTTCCTCAAAACCGCAAAAACGTGTTTTCCCGTCACAACCCAAAAACGAGTTTCCCACCAAAACCGGAAAACGTGTTTTCCTGCCAAAACCGAAAGAGGTGAATTCCCGCAAAAACATATTTTTCGCCAAAACCGCAAAAATGTCTTTTCTCGCTAAAACCGCAAAAATGTCTTTTCTCGCCAAAACCGCAAAAATGTCTTTTCTCGCCAAAACCGCTAAAACCGCAAAATGAGTTTTCCCGCCAAAACCGCAAAAACGTATTTTCTCGCCAAAACCGCAAAAAAATATCTTCCCGCCAAAACCGTAAAAACGTGTTTTCCCGCCAAAATCGAAAAACGTGTTTTCCCGCCAAAATCGAAAAACGTGTTTTCCCGCCAAAACTAAAAAACATGTTTTCCCGCCAAAACCACAAAAACGTGTTTTCCCGTCAAAACCGCTAAAACGTGTTTTCCGCCAAAATCGAAAACATGGTTTCCCGCCAAAATCGCAAAAACGTGTTTTCCCGCAAAATCACAAAACGTGTTTTCCCGCCAAAATCAAAAAACGTGTTTTCCTGCCAAAATCGAAACACGTATTTTCCAGCCAAAACTGCAAAATGTGTTTTCCCGCCAAAACCGAAAACGTGTTTCCCGCCACTATGTGTTTTCCGCAAAACCGCATTTTTCGTAAAATGAGTTTTCTGCAAAAAAATTTCCCAAAAAAATCGAGTTTTTCCGACAAAATCAGAATGTGTTTTCTCGCCAAAACCGGAGAATGAGTTTCCGGTCATACTGGAAAAACTAGTTTCTAGGAAAAAAAAATTCTGCATAATCTCTTTAGAACAAATAAAATAGTAGTTTAAATACCATGGGTTAAACTTTATCCTACTGGATTATTTTTTTGGGTTTTAATTTAACTTTGATGTTTCTTGGTTTTCGCGGGTATGGTATAAATTGGGTCGGATTTTTTGTGGGTTAGGCTGAGCTTGACTGGGTTATTTTACCCATTTTAACATCCCTAGGCTCGGTGGTTGGCTAGCATCAGACCGTACCTTTTGGTGCGTTGTTGTGTATGCTTTCCTTTTCACAAGGATTATGTACCACATTAACGGCATCCATTAACTCCTGATCGGTTGAACTTTTTTTTTTTTTTTTATTAAAAGCAAAAGAGTACAAGTGTCTATTTATTGATTCTCTGAAACCACAAAACGTGGGGAAGATGTCAAGTAAAAGTACTAAATTAGGGTTTTTTTTTTGCTAAACTAAATAAATCAATTTTGTCTTTGCTAAACCTGATATTAATTTTTTCTTATGCAAAATTGTCATACAAAACTCAATCATATCAAAAACCATATCACACACTTTTAAAGAAAATGCGGATTCCATCAAAACCGTTGAGCGACTGCTCGTAGCCTGGAGTAAACCTTGCCAGCAGGAGATCCCATGATGAGACTAGACAACGAATTTCTCGCGATTTTAATGTTAGAGAAAGCTCCCAAGATGTGGATCCTCGTGTCTGCGATCACAATCCTTGTCTTTGTAGAGTTCTCAATCGCGAATTTGGTCTTCCCTCCTTTCCCTGACAATCTCCCTATAGCTCGAGACAGATGCTCACCTTTAAGCGTCTTGACATCCTTGATCTCAAAAGATTCGACATAGAGCTCGTCCATTCTCAGGAGTGAGATAGCGTCAGGGATATCGAAACCGAGCATGAATGCGTGTACGAAATCAGCAGACTTCTGAAGGTTACTGACATCGGGAGTGTCAGCTAGGGTTTTGAGCTCGACTTTGCGGGATTTTCGATTCATGCGGATGTCCACTTTCATCTGGTTGTAGACAGGAGTGTAGATATCTAACCAAGCTTTTTCGAGAGGAGAGTAGCGGTTTGGTGGGACGGGTACCTTTCTGAACTGAACCTTGCCATCAGACATGTCATGAGCCTTGAGTGGCTTAAAGATTGGTTTAGCAGGCAATGATGATGCTTGAACTTCCATGTCAGTAGATTCTTCCACCATTGAGTTCTTTACACTTTCAACGATTATCATTTTTTTCAAACCTATAACAGGTCATACATATAATAAGCAAAACACTCACCAAAAATAGACATACACCACGCAAGGTCTGAAACTAACAGGGGTTCTCTCTCATCAAATTTATTAAGCTGGGAATATTATATAACAGAGATTTCATCATATAGAAGAAGAGGTAGAGTTTATGCGATCCACCAGTTAAATTGATTAAAACGAGCCAAAAGGACATAACCAGTTACAGCTTCAAGAGAGGAACAAAATATCTGAAAAATTAACTCTTCCTATAGAAACTCGAAGACACCTCTATATCGTAAGTTTGATAACTATACTAAAAAGAAGAGAAAGCACCTGGATTTCTAGAGGATGATGCCGGCTGAGGAAGAAGAAACTAGGAGAAAGTAAAACTTGTAAGAGCATGTACAACGGTGAAAAAAGAGAGTCCTTAGGCATTAATCCTTAGTGCTTTATGATTAAAAAAAATATTATTTAACCTCATTTTGGCAAGGATTAGTCCTTAACTAAGGAATAATAAGGAATAATAAGGATCAATCCTCAGCGAATATGACATCGAGTATAGACCCCGAGCAGCCATAAAAGCTCAGGTCCTCACCGATTTTATCATCGAGCTATCGTCCAAACAACTAGCCCCGAGAGCTGAAGCTCTGGACTGGAACCTGTATGTTGACGGAGCCTCATCAAAACAAGGTTCCGGAATCGGTCTAAGGCTGACCTCTTAAGCCGGAGAAACCATCGAACAATCCTACAGGCTCGGATTCAACGCTTCAAATAATGAGGCCGAATATGAAGCACTAATAGCAGGATTAAGACTCGCCCTAAGCCTCGGAATCCGAGAGCTAAACGCCTACAGCGACTCACAGCTGGTAGCTAGCCAATTCCATGGGGAATACGAAACAAGGGACGAAAGAATGGGGGCATACCTCGAAGTCGTACAAAGCCTCACTAAACAGTTCAGCAAGCTCGAACTAACAAGAATCCCACGAGGAGAGAACTCCTTAGCAGATGCGTTGGCTGCATTAGCATCCACATCAGACCCCCTAGTAAAACAAATTATACCTGTAGAGGGAATCGAAAAACCAAGCATCGATATAGCTACCAAAGCTGAAATTGACAGCAAACGGAAGCTAGCTGTCCTGGGACAGCAGCAACCCAAGTTCTCACAACATTCTGGTTCCCAAAAACCAAAACACGCAAATTCAAAAAGCATACCTCTGGGGGGCACAACCCAGCCCCATAGCCCACTTGTCCACAGAGTAAACACCCGCAGGACTAGATATTCCCCTGAACCCGAAACTCCAACCGGAGACACGATCCCGATCCCAGAAAATAACGACACACCTGAAGATATTCCTCCAGATCCAGGCTCCAATCAACCTAACCGAAGGAATATTCCTGTCTCTCCAGAACCTTCTTTTGGTCGGGTCATAGCAAAAACGACGAAAGAAATCGAAAAGAGATAAGAAAGGAAAAAGAATGATCGAACTAATGGATCAAAGTCTCTGGGGGCAACAGTTTTAAAAGAGATAACTCGAAAGCTTAACAAAAAAATATATATAAATAATAATGAGCGAAAGAAGGTAAAATAAGGAGCCGAAGGAAGTTACCTGGAAAACTGAATCGAAACGTGGAGAAGATGGGTAGAGTTGCAGTTAATGTGTGCAGCTTTATATCCCGTAAATTCTCGAAAATCGGGATAATTATTTCAAATTCGTTTCATCTGAGCCATTGATTACGCTAGAGGCAATCATATCTGTTAGAGTGGATGAGAGATATCCTAGAAAGAAGATCACGAGTAATCATTATCTCAACGAAAAGATTGAGATTCGGCGGCTAGGTTTAGCTTCCGAGAAAAAGCATCTTCTCTAGAAAGCTGGGGGCAACTGTTGGGCCCAAATACGGCCCGTTAGCTGAAATTAACAGGCTTAAATAATAAGAATTGACAATGGGTTATTATAAGCCTATTAGCAATTAAGTCTTGGGAAAGGAGTTAAGAAGAAACCGGAAGCTATTTTGCTCATGAAAGAAAGGTTAACAAAACAGGTCTCAGAAGAGAACTCCGGACCTCATTCACAGAGAGCTAGTAGGAGTAGCTCAGGATGGATGCGCAGGACCCGGTCAACAGGAGACTGTTGAGAATCCCTCAACTCACGGAGCAAATCTCGGAGGTTAGCTGAGGACGTTGAAACATGATCGAGAGCTATAAAAGAGGAGGAGGACATCAGAGCAAGGGGTCCAGATTTTCATCCATTATTCACACATTCAAGAACTCTAAAAACAGTCTTTATTCTTTGTAATCACAGATCAATACATTTGTAATCATCTTTCACCAAAAGCATTCAATATAATCATATTCATTCTACAAGTTCCAAACAGGATTCAGCCCACGATTATCTTTTCTCCAATCTAAACCTCATCTAAATTAGGAAGTGAGTTTTATCCCTCACAATCTCCATTCTTCAAGTGTATGAGAATGTTTGCTTTTCCTTTCACCTCCATCTTTGATTCATCTCCCAAAGCCACATTGGTTTTCACCGATTCATCAAGCTCCACAAAAATGCTTTTATTCCCACACATGTGGTTGCTTACACCACTATCAAGGTACCACTTGTGAAACTCTTTTGGTTCATCCGTCTTGTAAGCCATCAATAGCATATCTTCTTCTCTACTCATTTCTTCAATATATTTTGATTTTGCTTCAACTTTATTATTGTTTGGAGCTTTGTATTCAGAGGCATAATGTCCAAAATTTCCACAACTATAGCATTTAAGTCTTGATTTATCCTACCTTGATTTTGAATTTCCTCTTCCACGACCTCTTGTTGAGCTTTCCCCTCTTTGGTTGAAGTTGTCTTCATATGGTCTCCAACTTCGTGCATTTACACCACGACCTCATCATCGGAAATGACCGCACCACGTCTTGGATTGCTCCGGCCACTTTCTTCCTTGTGATCAATTCACATTTTGAGAACTTGCTCAACAATATCTTCTTTTTTCTTCTTCTTTTCTTCATAAGCTTGTAGTGATCCAAGAAGTTGCTCCATCGTCATAGTCTCCAAATATTTTGTCTCTTCAATCACGGTAACAATGTGCTCGAATTTTGAATCCAATGATCAAAGAACTTTCTCCATGATTCTCACCTCATCTAACTTCTCACCATTTCTCTTTAGGTTATTAGTAACCGTCAAGACTCTTGAGAAGTAATCTGAGATGAGTTCTCCTTCATTCATTTGTAGTGCTTCAAATTCTCCTCTTAGAGTTTGAAGACGTATCTTCTTAACTTGTTATGCTCCCTTGTAAGAGGTCTGAAGCTTCTCCCATGCTTCTTTGGACGTCTTTGCTCCAGCAACCTTCTCAAATGTATCTTCATCTAATCCTTGATAGATTAGACAGAAATCTTTCTTGTCTCTCTTCCTTGAATCTCTCAAACCATCCCTTTGAGTTTGAGATAAACCCTCATCATTCTCCGGTTCAATGAAGCCTTTCTCTACTATTCCCCACACATCATGTGCTCCTAAGATAGTCATCATCCTAAGGCTCCAATTGTCATAGTTTCTCTTTGTGAGCAATGGAATTTGCAAGGGAACACCACTAGTTGCCATCCTTAGTTCTGATACCACTTTGTTGGAATTAAAACTTTAGTAAAAGTGGAGAAAGTGTTTTAAGTGTTTGAAGAGAAAATATTTTGTGTGAAGAAGAAAGCTTTAATTTACTTAAGAGAACTTCTTATTACTTTGATGATTCTTACAAACTTGGATAATACAAAATGAAAGAGAGTGGAGGTATTTATAGCCTCCAAAATACAAAATATCTTACATATTTTAATCCTAAATCTAGATTATTCTTACATAATATCTAGATTATTTTATCTTAATTATCTAGATTATTCTATAACAATATCTAGATTTTTTATGTTAAGGAGGTGAAGATTATTCTAGATATTGGGCTAAGTTTGGGCTAAACATGATTAGTGAATTATTAGCCCAATAAAACTTGATCCAAATCAAGTTTACTTTTCAACAGTATTCTCGTGACATTCCCAGAGTAGCTGGTTTGTGATGATCTCGTCAAACTTGTTATCCTCACTGGCCATAAAGTTCTAACTGCAATCGATAAGAAGGAGAGAGAGAGAGAGAGAGAGAGAGAGAGAGAGAGAGAGAGAGAGAGAGAGAGAGAGAGAGAGAGAACCTGATAGGAGAGCAACCCAACCTTACTTGACCAACTCGCGGGTTAAAGAATCACCAAAAGTCTAGAAACCGCAATAGCAACACAGACAAACCATACAATACGGGCTGCTATGGAGATAGTACTAGATGTGAGTCTTCAAAACCTGCAAAAAAAAAGTACAACCGGCTAACCTGACCAAGCATTCAACCCAACCCTAGAATGATCGAGCTCCACCGATGTCTCCATATTAAACGCAAACCCGACAAACTTGACCGAATTTACAAAGAGATGCAACAGTTCGAATCATAGAACCGGATCCATTTTTTCCGTGCTCTAAGCTACTCCTCACTGGAGACACGACAGAAAACCCTCAAAGAAGAGCTGAAGGAGATCATATCACTAGCAAAGCAGCACCAGCAACAAACATCGGAAACCAAAAGACAAGACAATAAACCAAAAGTTCTCAAAGCAAAACTGATTTGTTAATTCTTTCTTAAGAGTGATACAATGCTGATTTATATTCTTGGATCTTTAAGGCCTGTAATTATTACTAGAATATCTGCCAAATATTGACCCATAAAATATTAAACCAAAAAGTTACTCGAAATATAATATTATTTTTCCTTTGTTTCAATTGAGAAAATCTTCAAAACTTTAAGAGGAGGAGATGCAAATCTCAAATTCGATGATGAAGATTCCGTTGAAGAGGGTTTAGGATTATATCGCTATCTGAGCGTAAGTCTTTGTTTCTTCTTTGAACTACTTTGTGTGCTAAAATGCTAGAAGGATTGACATTCTGATATTGTTCGGGTTCAGTTAGGGCCTATTCGGGTTTTGGGTTTTTAGGGCTAATGATTTTTTTTCTCATGTGTCGAGGTTTTTATAATGTGCAAGAATGTTTCTGATTGCATATACATGAATACCAGAATATGATTAGTATAATCAAGGTTTTTGTGGGTTTTGCAAATTATCAAACTGGATGATAAAATATAGTTTTATCCATTGATATATACATAAAAGGAGAAGCAAAATTCAATCATTGTTAAGAGGAAAGGCAACCAATGGTAGGGTCTTAGTGGAATCTTGAATTCCTTTACAAAAATGCAAGTTTTCTCTTATTATTGAGCTCATCTGTGATGCAAATGATTTGAATTACTTTTCTGGAGTGATGAATAATACCAACGAAATATTGGGAAATACACAAAGCATAGAATAACTAGAATCTATCCAACACCCAATCTTACAACCAACTGGCGGCCTCTTTGAAATAACGTCCCAATCAGTCGTATCATTTCCCCAAAAATATAAGTTCCTGACCTATCTGATTGATTGTATATCTCCAAACCTGACACTTGATTATGCTATCCTACCTTGTTTCCCAAAATATAAATTACATTTACGTTATGAATATGTTAGGTCAAATGAAGTTTTTTTTTTCCTAAATAGGTCAACAATAAAGTTAGAGTTTGGTTAACAGTTTGACTAGAAAAAATAGCATGATGGGCAGGTTCGAGTAGATCACCATTGTTTTCATTGTTATTGGATCTCAATCATCCTAATCATAGTGTCTGTGAGATTTTATATTGAAGGCAGCGACCGATATTTATTATAAAATTAAGAAACTAGATTGAATCACTTTCATCTTAATTAAACCAAAATAAAATAAATAACATTTTAGTTTTGGGTATTAATCACATTCTCATGTTAACATCTTGTTTATCACCAAAGCATTTTTGCACAACTTGAGAAAGACCTCGTTTCTTTTTGAAAGTTCCTCATCATTTCCACCGCGTGACTCCAACTCGTCACCGCATGACTCTATGGCACTTATCGCCGCATGCAGCCAGACGTCAACGTCCGCGTGTGCGTTGGCAAGCATGGCGGAGATGGAGTCGTCGAGCTGTTCCACAGCGTCTTGGTAGTTCTTCTGGCAGTCTTCAAAAGTGGCCTCTGTCGCAGGTTCAAGATCCTCTTGGCTTAGCTTTTCTTTGATGTATGCAGAAGTAGCAGAAGCGTTGGCAGAGGCAACGGATATAGCTATAATCTCGATCTGGTTGGTGGTGCCTGCGAACTCGCCGGACTCAGGACGCGACTCTATGGTAGAGAGACAGAGTTTTGGGTCATCACAGTGTTTGCACAGATCAGAAATCAAAGTAGAATCAGCATTTCCGGTGATGGAGGAGAAATAAATGGTGCATAGAAAAAGAATTCCGGTGAACTGCTTCATTATTGTATTGATTATAGGATCTGGAATGAGTTATGTATGATGAACGGAAATTTATATTTGAAAAAAAAATACGAAAGGGTAATTAGAGTTCAAAACGAGTTTTGTTTATTGTTTTTTCTTGTTGTTGAAGAGATCTGTTTTGTCTGCCTTTGAAGGTTTGGCGGGAAATATGCAACGGTCAAACAGAAAACAATAACAGCTTATTGGGCCCTTCTGAATCTAATCGTGCAAACTGGTTTAGAGGCTGAAATGCTAGTTCCGAACCAAATTAAAACCAATGTTTGAGAGATTTTTTTGTGACAGACCAATGTTTGAGAGATTATTATTGTATTTTCAGATTTTTTTTTGTTTCTCAATATATATATATATATATATATATATATATATATATATATGTTTTATCAGAGCACTCTTATCGGATAGTTTCTCAAAAATAAGTTCTCTGCAACTAAATATTAATATTGTAGTACAACTTATGTTTTTAGTTAAAATGAACTTTCTTTTAAATACTTAATTCAATAAGAAAGTGACATTTGTCCTCTAATCTAGTTTGATAGGTTCTTGTAGGGTCTGTGCAGATAATTTTTTTCTACTTCTTTCTCTTTTTTTTTTCATTTTTCATTTTTTTTTTTAATTAGTTAGAAACTCTCAGCTCCTGCAATCATTTCATTCTAAGGTAATGAATGGGAGCCACGGTTTTCACTGTAGCGGGGCGGGATTGATTAATTACGCACTTGAGTCACCAATCAATTGCATTAATAAAGTGTTGTGCGTAATTGAATTTTTTAAATAGAAAGCAAAAGTACAAGTGCGGTTTTTGACATTGTGAAGGAAAATGTAAAAACCGCACACTACAGTAATTCCCCTAGTTATTGATAGCGTTACATAGACGAAGTGCGGTTTTGTAAATAATTTTTATTTTAACGATAAAAGATAAAATAGATAAAATAGTATAACATACGTTTTGTATATAAAATTCTGTAGTTATACGTTTATGATAAAATAGAAGGCATATAATGATTTAGAACTTTTCTTTAAACTAATAGATTTTAGCTTTTTGGTGGAGTTTTGTAAATGTGATAAACATGTGTATATATTAAATAATTACATTATTTGCAAAACTATATAATTAATATAATAAAAATGTTAATAATTGTATTAATATATTTACTTAACGTTAATAAATGTTAAATAAATTTACAAGTTATATAAAAATATATCAGAAATATTTTACATTATTTTATAGTATTATTTTTATCTCAAAACCGCACTACTCTTTTATCAAAACCGCACTACTTTTTCAACCAAATCCGCACTTGTTCCATAAACCGCATGAACCGCAGTTGTACCGCACCGCATTGAAATTCCGCACCGTTTATATTATCAAAACCGCGGTCACCATTCGGACCCTAAACCTATCACTGGACTTGCTCTCAGCTCATGCAATCATTTCACTTTCTTCATTTATGAAGTTTCCATAAAGTTTTTTAGATTGAGAATATATAGAAAAATGAAATAGGTATTTTAAATAATAGAAAACAACAATTAAAATTTTGAACTTTCAAATTAAAGCCAATAAAACATTTAACTCATGTTTGAGCCAAACAAATCTTCAACTTTTAAATATTTGTCGTTTTAATTCCTATATATTGTTGATTATTCCATTTAACAATCTCAAATAGTCAATTGTAAAACTCGATTATAAAAATAGATAACTGTTTTCTTTCTAAACGGTGTTTTTTTAAAAAAAAAGTTTAACGATGTTGTTTTGCTTCTTTAAACAATTAAAGCATTTTTCGTGAAATCCAAGTCCTGAATCGCCTTCACCTTCTTCATTCGAAAATGAGGAAGATGAAGTCAATTTGGAGGTATGACTCAACGAAAAAAAATATTTTAAGTGTTTTTCAAAGCAAAACGACATTATTTCTAGTCATATTATTTATATATATATATATAATATTGTATAATTAAACTTATAATTAAAAATAGAAGATATAGAATATTAAATTAAGTAGAAAAAGATAATGATTGACAAAATCATTTTAATTAATGCAAGTAAGAGTTTCATAAGTAATTCCAATAATGAATATTTTTTTCTTACAAAATATAGATTTTCTATTTTTTTAAATAGAACCATCATTTTATTTTTGGTATAAATAACTTACATAATAATTACTGTAATATTTTAATCTGTAGTTTTATATTTTCTATCTACAAAATGTTGGTAGAAAATAATCATTATCAAAATCTGAAAATTAAGTATATAAAATTAATTGACTTTTATTTAAATTTAAAATGATATTATATAAATTTAAGATTGTATATATTTTGTTGTTGTGGGAATCGACTGTCGATTTTACGTAAATTTAGGAACTTAGGGAAAACCCTAATTTTCCAGAGGATCCGGCTATCTGCGGAACAGCACACAAGCAATCAAGTAAACGACAAGAATAAGTAAAAAAATAGTAAAAACGAGATTGAGAGCAAGAAGGATCTTATTCCGAATTCAGCGTAAGAGTGGTACAATGAGAGTAAGCCTTGGCTAAAAAAGCTGTCGGCGAGTTACCTAGTTCTAACAACCTTAGAATGAAAATCCTTGTTGAGACGCAGCTCGATAACAAAAAACGGAAAGTTTCCTAATGCTAAGTTTGGTGGTGAGAGCTCTGAAAAATCGCCCTTGTGCTCTGTTCTTGGCCTTCTGCTTATATACTCCCTCCTTAAGCGGTTCAGTCCTTCCTTTTTGCCCAGATATGATTTTATCGAGAATCTTCCAGTTATCTCGATCTTTCCATTTTTTTGCGGGAATCTTCTATATATCTTCAAACTTGACATTTATCTTCAAACTTTCACATTTATCTTCTTTCTGCAAGTAAATCGTCAAATCGTCATTGTATCTTTGGGCTGGACTTCGTTCAAAATCGCGAGTGGGCTTTTATTGCGTTTTAGGACTTTCCGAGCCGTTTTGCGATAAAAACCGTTTTACGATTTTAGACGAGATCGTTTCTTTATACGATGCCGTTTCTATAATATTTCTCGAGTTAATCATATAATTTGACAATGTACGATGTTCCGTCTAATCGTTGCCGTTTATACGACTTTCCCGAATTCTTACGAGAAAAGAAGACTTTTACGATTTTTATCGTAAAACTCGAATGGTGAGCCGGATCGAGATGAAACGAGAGACGTTTCGACCATGGTTCAGAGCACGATCTAACCGAAGGATGTATGCCTTACGTCAAGGATGCGGGGGATCAAGGCTCATGACTGTCAGCTCGACGTATGACGAGCCGAACCGGGTTGGTTCAGCTTGCCGTATGGTGAGCTGCGTTGAGGCGACCAGCAGCTCGCCGTACGGTGAGATGAACCGGCTGGTTTGGCTCGTCGTACGTTGAACTGGTTCAGTCGAACCTGCTCGTGATTTACGGCGGATGCGGTTTTTTGCAGTTTTTCGCTTAACTTGGGCAATCGTGTAATCGGAGATTGTTTAGTTCATTTTTCCGAGATGAAAATCTCCAAATTTTCCGCGGATTTCCTTTGTTCAGAAAGTCCTGAGAATCTTATAAAACAACTTTTTTGTGTTTTATAAAACATATTTCTCTTTTTACGAAAAGTTTTTGTCATTAATTCCGTCGTACCAATTTTGACCCCAACAGTTAGCCCCCCAGCTCGTAAGAATCGTGGAGTTCTTGGGAGAGGTTTGAACTTGTTTGGCAAGTTTGGTAGAATTAGGCGGAACTTAATAGCCAAAAGTCCAAAGGTGAATAGTAAAACTTTTCTTATACGTATGTAGAGTAAGTTTTCAAATTCTTTACTCACTTCTTTCCACAACTTTTCTAAGGTTCAAGAAATTTTCTCTCCTCCTTTCTCTTCGAATCTCTCTTTCTTTTGATTGTTCAATATGTCTTGCGAATGGAGAGCTTCAGAATGTGCTCACGCATCAATCTTTGAACCGAGTGATCTCGATACTCCCGATAGCTGTGTCCTTCCCAAGCCGGTCTTTCTGCGGTTTTTCGCGAGTAAGAAAGAAAACATGAAGTATCATGCAGCTTTGCGCGTTGCCGACGTTCCTCCACCAAGCTTCTGGGTTCCAAAGACAAATAAGTTTCGGAGGAGCAAGGAATGTCCGAGCGCGAGTACTGCTCATTCCCTCAGGGATTTGCGGAATTCTCGCGTGATTCCGGATTCAGTGCATTTTTGCCTTCCCGAATGGGGTCAAGGCGCCGAGAATCCGCCCTCAAGTTACTTCACGTGTTACGAGGCCTTTCTACTGAACTGTCAACTGTGGTTCGCTATTCCGCGAGCCATTCTTGAGCTCTTGGATCGATTTAAACTATCGATCAGCCAGCTCTGTCCCTCCGTGTTGCACCACCTTGTCGGGATTTTGGTGCTGGGTTATGAACGCGGCATGTCTCTCAGCCCAGATTATCTTCTGGCTATGCTGCTGCCCAAGCGTGTGAGCGGGGGTTTTTTCTACTTATCTCCGCGGTTGGAGATGTCAGTTATCGACGGGCTTGCCTCGAATGGCCACGAGTGGAAGGATTGGTTCTTTTACGTCAAGATTGATAGTGCATCGGTGGAGGAAAGTTTCATTCCTTCGTTCAGGACTGAATAGGCGACAAAAGGTACTTAGATTGCATATTATTATTACTTTTTTGTTTTCGCGTTGTAATCTTTGTGTACGATTTGTGCTTTGCAGTGTCTACCCCCCTTATGCCGTTACTTGAAGACCTCGAGTCAGTTATGAGCCTTCTTCGTGGCGGTCCGCTTTATTGGGGACATTTTTCTCCAAAGAGAGTTTATCGCGCCGTTGCCTATTACTCTTCTGGTTTTTCCCAGAATGATCGCGTCGAGATTGAGGCGAACGACGATGAGGAAGCGAGGGAGAGATCTAGATCCCCACAGAAGAGAGATGTTCTGATTGGTCAAGACTGATCGTTTGACGAGGACATTAATATTGAGGACTATATCAACTTCTCGGCTCCCTCGTCCGAGTTCGAGTCGGCCGAGACGTCGTCCGAGATACCAGCCGATACGCCGTTTGCGAAGGCGTCAAGACTTTTCAACAAGGTCTGTTGTTCTTTACCGATTTTTGTATTTT